TCGATGAATATTTTGAATATCTTGTGAATATTCGCAAATATCACCTGAATACCTATTAGATATTAACCAGCGGGTGCACCGTGAATAGTCGAAGTTATTGATGCCCCCTCGGGGTGGAAGGGAAGGAAATGAAACATTGTAGTCACAGCGTTGAAAGGAAAAACACGCGTTGCCCTTGCCTATGATACTGCGCCCATTCCGCAATAAGACGAATAAGTGCCGCGGTGGCGTCTGTCTCCTCCCCGGCATGCAGAGCGTGTCTCCCGTCGCCGCCGCATGCCACACGTGTGCTTTATGGCCGCTAATGGACACGTTAATGCCCGTGTTTGGCGGCGTCAGCGCGCCGGCCCACCCGGAGCAGAGAACAGTAAGCAGAAGCGGAGCAGAGCGACCTCCTGTTGGAAAGGTTAGCTGCTTATATTGCAGACCAGGAACGGCGCGGGGCGGGGCCGGACGGGGTGGGACGAGACGCTCCCGGGGGGCGGCGCGTTATGAAGACATTTGTCAGCCTTTGACTGCCCCGTGATGGCGCCGTGTCGTCCGCTGACTGCCCCGCTGCAGCAGCAGCAGCAGGAGCAGGAGCTTTGCTGCCTCGCTTTATGGCTCAGGCCGTGTTGGTCGGGGTGCGGGGGCCTGATCGCCGGGGACCTGTCGCTCCGACCTGGCTGGCTGGCCCACGCCTTCACCGCCTTGACGACCATAAAGGTCACCGGGCGAGCCCCAGAGCAACTCCCCAGCACGGCCCCCCTGGCACGGCGACACTTTTGATAATAACCTGCTCAGCTGCTGGGGCTTGCTGCTGCTCGCGCTGCGGGGCGCGCCGTGGCGCCTCGTCGGGCGCTATTCTTTCATTTCGATGGGTTTCGCCCCCGGCTCGCCCCCTCTTCTCTCTTCATATCCCCCTCCTCCTGCGTCCTCCCCGGTCCTTTTTCGCGCTGTCCTGCCCGGGTTCAAAGCTCCGCGCGCGTCTCGCAGGCGGGGACCACTCACTCCCAGGTCGCGCTTTTTGTCGTGCCAACAGAATTGTTGATTTCCGCGGCGCGCCCCGCGCTCACCTCCAATATACATGAGACGCGCCAGCCACTCGGCTGCGTGCGGCTGCAAGGCGCCACCGCAACGCACCGGGAGGGAAAAACCTAACAGAATCTAATCCCACTCGGCTCGATTTTATTTATTCTTCGAAATGTGTGCCGAGCGGGGCCGGGCCAGGGAGGGGCGGCGGCGGTGGTGGCTGTGACACGCTCATTGCCCGCGCGCTGCGGAAGTGTCAGGGGTGCCGCGGATGCGGAGACTCCAGAGTGGAAGCGGGGTGGGCAAGGGCCCCTCCAAAGGGCTTTTTCAGGATTCTTACGGGAGATTGCTACTCCCTGCTACAGTCCTGGTCCTGCAGATAGTCCTGCAGATGGTACTAGTCCTGCAGACCGTCCTGTGCAGACGGCCCCATTCAGACAATTATTCTAGGTCTTATCCAGGCCCTTTTTTTGCGCTGTGCGCGCGTGTTCGCCA